GTAAGCATCTGATTCACTGCTCTTAATGAGCTCAGGTTATGAAGCGTCTCTGTATTCCTTTATCGATGGTTGCCGTAATGCATAAGGCTTGACTTTTGCTTTTCTGTGCTGGATTCGACTAGTGACTCTGGAGCTAGTACTAGCCGCAAGCAACCTTCAAAAATTTATTGTGACAGTCTTGATAGTAGTGCGGGAGGCCGTTTGCTGGTGGAAATGAAAAACGTGGCTAACTTATCGATTATGATTTCTTCATAATTGTTTACAAAAACAACATTGTCCATATCTTTAAAACGGTAAAACCGATGAATGTGCAGCCGAATAGAAATTGTCTTCATTTTTCAGATGATATGTTGTGACTGCACCGTACCTAAGATTTCATTCGCCAGAGGAAACAGTTAAACGTGCAAAAATTTATTCTAAAGGACCATCACCAGATTAATCACCAAATAATGGGATAATACCATAAAATAAACTCATCTCGAGGCTCTTGTCCACTTTGAAATATGGTTATTGCATTCAAACACGAAATTTGAAATTTTGACTAAAATATAATTTTAAAGGAAGTAGGAAAGGAGAAGTTAGCACGTATTTCCTAAACTACCCTACTTAGTTCCACGGAAGTCTGGACTTCCGTTTAATTAAAGTTAAAAATATGATAAAAGTTCCCAAAGGCCGTAATCAAATTTGTATTCCAATAAAGTTTCATGGATCTTTGGATCCTCTTCTCAGGTTTTGCAAATATATTTTAACCATGAAGTTAAAACAAGCGGAGCACTATTTACAAGCTTGCTCAGACCTAACAATTCAATGCGCGTTCACATGATGAGAGGAAATATTTACGATACTTGAATCTTCAACAGCTTTATTGCAGAAATATCTTGCTCACATAAACCTTGATTACACTGCAACTTGACAATTAATGCTAGAAGAACATACATTGTTCTCATGTATCCTAGTCACCCACCCTGCTCTCAAGGGGTGCAGTTTACTTTTGTATAACCCATGGAGTACTACTTGTTGCATTTTTTTAAGGTGCTATATGTACTCTATATTGGTTATGCGACAGATGAATGCTGCGTTAGAATGTGTCAAGAAATCATGGGATGTAAAACTGACGTGCGGCATAAGCAATAACGCCCTCCGAATACAGTCTTGGTGTTTGGGGAATTTTGACCTGCTGCACACCCGCTCTTTCTGCTGCCGATGTACTAGCAGATTGTTGCACCGCTCAGAGCACTTTCAAAGTTATTTTTTAGATATCAGTTAACATATGGCTCTAATTCGCCAAACGATTTTGTTGTTGCCATACAGGCTGGTAAACTTAGGGTTCAAGCCAAGTAGCTTACAAATAGTTATGAAAAGGAAGAGAAACTGCATACGTGAATGCACATTGGAAGGAAACGTTCAGACCTTAGATGCATTAACATTTCGAGTACCAATTCGAGAGCTATGTTAGCTAATATTCGACCGTGCCTCGTCAAAAGGTGACCGCATTAAAATGCGTCTGTCTTTTCCGGCTTGAAGTTATCTGATACAATCCATCGCTGCGTAAAACCTAACATGTTTTTTGTCCGTTGCCTCATTATATTGAAGATGTTAGATATGTATATATGAACAGTGTATAAACCAATGTTGCTATTCAGCTTCCCGGGTAGGGGCACTTATGTGTGTAATAAGAACATGGGACTGACTAAGTTCACTCTCTGTGGTATCCGAAGAAAATTTCAAGTTGCCCGAATAAACCTCAGATCCTTAACGTCTCTGGAGGAAAGGCTGAAGTTTGTATGTATGACGGATTCGGGTCTACTCAGACATTTATAACACTTGCGGGTGTAACGTTTTAGCTTTGATATTCTGCCAGTGCCCAAGCCGGTGTAAAAACTGTTGACAACTTCTTTATTAATCGACATCTTAACATATACCCAGTTGTAGTGGCTGTATGTGTTCAATTCCACAAGAACACGGGTATTAAGAAACCTCCCAAAATCTTAGTGCAACTGTTCGTAAATTTGTACGGTGTAGGGTAACATATCTTGGCCGATGTTCGGGTTATGTTGGTAGATGGATGCATGTACATATTTTTTCNAAATATCGATTACAGATTGATTGACATCGTGTTTGAAGTACGTGTACGACAAAATTAACGGCAAACGTCGACTGTCAAATAAGAGAGATCCCGCTGAACAAGTGTTCTAGAACGTTGTAGAGCTGTCACTTTTCAGTCTAGGTAGTTAAAATTTCCAGTTCGCAAATCAGGTTTTTCACCCTAAATACACCAGGGTTCAAGTGGCGAAAACAATTGTTTTGTAATCAACCATGCGAAAATGCAGAGCACATCACAATACAAAGTCTTTATAATACATGGGCCCAAATCTCCGCATTCCGCTTCGAATTTTCAAAAAAATGACCGCTGCGCAAGTATCGGTCTTCTTTCATCTCCTTCAACTTGAAAGAATCTTACTTAAAGCCAGTGGTTAGTTCTGCTATAGCAAACAGCAAATATTGGGAACATTTTAAATAAATCATACAAACTAATCAAATTTGCCGCGAGGTTACCGGTTAGGACTAACGCATCCCAATTTGAATTGGCGAATACAGACTTTTAATTAGCTTTTACAAATACTGTTACCGTTACTTGCGAAATTCACACACTTGCAACAACTGCAATTGTGGAAATTGTTCCGGCATGGGCAACAAATTCATAATTTGAAAATTGTGCTAACTAGCGAATTTTTAAAGGACATAAAAGTATGTTAGTTGGAAGTTGAGGGCAGTAGCAGAGAAGAAAGCCGCTTTGGTAATAACAACTACAGGATATACCAAATGCAATGCATTTTCCGCAAGTGGTTAAAGGGGAAATTCAAAACAAACACTTAGTTTCATGAATGTACCATATTTAACGAGGACATGTATCTGCTAATTTATGTTTACAGATGGCACAAAGGCACACTTTGATACATGCGATGGCCCAAGTTGTTAGAGTGCGGATTTTCTAACCAGAAGTTCCGTTGTTCAAACCCAACATCTGCCTCTCGACGTCCCCTGTCTAAGCTTGGGAAACCTGGCAGTATCCCAGCCATCGTGCTCCCTGTTTCCTTCCTTTATCTATACTTTTAACTCATACCAACTGCTGAGACCGGGAAAGCGGGCAATGAGCTAAAGGTTTCTATGGTAGCACCACCTAGTTATAAAATGTGCTCACGCAGTTGCTCTAAAGTTCAAGTTCAGGCATTAGTTTAGGCCGACACACTCAAAGAAAAAGTCCAAGTGGCAAAGGCAGTGACTTATCATGCTTTGGATTTTTCATTGGGTTTGCAAGTAACCCTAATATCTTGCAAACACAGCGTTTTAAGTGGTGGTAATTTATGCTCCAGAACATCATCTTGTGATCTGTAGTTAAGTATTTGAACCGCTAGTTGTCGGTTAAGCTTTTGAAATCATTTTAAGCCCCTCAATTTTTACTGTTATTGATAAACAACAAAAACGAATATGCGTCATTTTCTTATCTGATTTGGGCCCAGGTTTGTTAAAAACTGTAAGATTTTAGGAGATAAAATTTCCTCGATTAAACATTCGAAAAGCCTTGGATTGCCTACTTACTTCCATCAAACGAAACTCAGCAGCCTTCCGGAGGAGACCGTTTTGGTACAGTTTTGAAAATGTGACAACCGTTACACATGTTTATTGGTCGTTAACAATTTATGGTCGCCATATTTTGGTGCCCAAACTTTTAACAAATTGTGCCATGAAACCTCGCCTCCGATTTCTAAATTTCGAGTGTTTAGAAGTGAAACGTTACAGTCTCCCACCAAAACAATGCAGGCGTTATATTTAGCGATCAAAGGTGGAGCACGTTATCGATAAAAAATCGTTCAGCGTGTTAAACATTTGGTAATTGCACAGAGCGTTTGTATTCCTTGCAATAAATTGATCCAAAAGCGATCATGGATTCTAATTTACATACATTTATGTTGGACATACATTCGTTTAAAATACTTCACCTTATGCATCAAGAAATCGTTTAGCACCTAAGTGAAATTGATTTGCAAAATAGTATTCATTTGTTGTTTGTGTTCTTGTGGGTTTAATGACTCGAATGTTAGGGCTATGCAAGCAGGGGACTTTTGACAGGCGAATACAGCATACTGTACTTACCATTATATACGTGCGTGAAATCCAAAATCATACACGTTCACGTTCCCATAATTTTGAGATACCGGTTAGCAGTGCACTTTCCAGCAACTATGAAAGATATTCAATAATAGCCGACTCTTGAACAATGAAGAGACGACTGAATTATTATAACCACGTGCAGGAAACAATAGTTCCCAAAATATCATTCGTTTTTTTCGACAAATTGTATGATACTGGCTAAGAAATCCATAAAAG